TTTGTTTTGTCGATAAAGATTGATTGATTATAGGCGATAACATTCTGAAAGAGCCGTAACTTAGTAAGATTGGGGAACTTTTTGCAGAGATTTAAGTTTGGTTGATGTAGCAGTTTCTGAATAAGTAAATGAATATTACATATGCTTGGAATTGTGCACAAATAATTTATTATTTCTACTAGAGATTAAAAAGAATTGTACGCCCCTGAACGTAGCATACATCTAGTCCTCCAGATTTGATTACTAGGCTACCAAAGGTACGGTACATTTCCTGTTCATAGGCATTATTCTGCTTTAGAAATGTATTTGAGTATGCATGTGTTTTAGTTAAGGTGATAATGAACTGTGGTACATCTATAGCCCCATCTGTTCTATGCTCTATTCATAGTCAATCTCAATAAGCATTTATAGTATTTAATAACAACTTCAAAAGACCTGAGATCAATGCTTCAGGCATTATTTACAATATACTTGAAAGCTAGTAGACTATCACCTTATGAAACTGATTTTCGCGTCTGATTCGTACCGCAATTCTGTGGTAGTCTATGAAAGTTTTTCTCATTAAAATTCTGATTGGTTGATTATGGATGGTCTGTCAGAACGTAATACGTAGAAGGCAGATTTAAACACGGCTGAGCCTTTTTTTGAATCCTTTTACGCATGTTTAAATTGAGAGGAAAAAGATTGGAACACTAAATAATGTTAACGAGTGGTTCAAGTCTATAGCCTATTTTTTTTCCTGTACGGGTGCTTCTGTGTCATTGGTATCTAGCATTGGTATTGCTTAGATATATCGCTGTGCAGAGAGACCACTAATATCGAAAATTTTAGACAATTTTATGGTTTTTGCAATATATTTTCCAAAAATTCAGTCAAATTGCTCGATTCATAACACATCACTGAAGTTCGGTCTACTTCGGAGAAAACAACTTTTTTCCTATTTTCAACATCACGAGCAAAAGAATAAATAGAAGTGTTCGCGCAAATACTAATTTAATCATTTGAAAAAAAAAGTGTCAATATAGGCGGATACTGTTTGAACTGAAGTACTATCTGTGCTATTTTCAAAAATTTTTGTTTTTTACTACGTAGATACTATTGTTATTCACATATCTTTCAAATGCTGTTCCCAATACCAAACTGTCATTTCCATCACCTCCAATTTGAACAGGAAATTTCTTAAATTACGAAATCAGATTTATGATTCAGTTTGTCATGATAATTTGAATACTCCGCAATGTGTTCACTTCCATTAGTTTAACTTTCTCGTTTTCTTTAGAAGGAAGCAAGCTTGATATTAGGGCTTAAAGATGCTAACAATGTGATTATAAGATAAAGGGACTTTCAAGAAACTAGAAGCCATCTCCATCTCTAAATTCGCTTAATTTAGATGTAATAGCCGGTCTGTCATTACATTCAGTGGATTTGGATGACGTGCCAGAGGCGATGATCGTTGGCAGCGGCGGTAACAAACGGCGAAGTATTGGTGAGTTGGGTTGAGTAAATAGTGCTTAGATCTCGCACATTAACTATATCACAAAAAGTAACGGTTTTAACTATGTATTCTCTGACTCAAATCTTTTTGAGTATTTTTAAGAATAGAGTTCTTTGACCATCTTAAAAGTGTTTGATGTTTTCTTCTAAATTATCATGTTCATCCTGATACTTTTGATGTTTGACATTTATCAGATCAAATATAGTCACATTTCAGCTAGTTCATGTTCATCAGTGACGGGTGACTCTTTAAAAGGTGATAATGGCAGCAGCGTATTCACTGGTCCCGGCGCCACTGCCGTCGAAGGCATCGATGGTGTTTCAGCCGGTAGAGCAGCTGCTATAGCAGCGCTTACAAGAGTAGTGTGCTCAAAAAGGACAAATGAGAAACTTCCCAATCAGCAGTTAGGCAACTTTCTGTCGACCATACACGACGCGTTGATTGAAGTGAGCACGAAGTCATTTTTATTGGGATTTTATGACTTATTCAATTAGTGAATAGAATCCAAAAGTGGTTTTCATCACTAAACTTCTTAATTCTCTGCAGAAATGCCATATTCTTTCATCTAACAAATATGAATTTGTGGCAGTCGATTCGAGAATCGGTCCTCAAATATAGAAGAATACATTATTGCTTACTTCTCGACAAGAGATCTAGTTTATTCATGATTTTATTAAAATCGCTGTGATTTGACGTCCAAATGCAGTTTTTAAAGTCAAAATCCTTTCTACAATTGTTACCTGGGAGACACATTTGGTGAAAACCTGTTATCCCCGCGCATAGTGTAAATCCTACCGTGAAAGATATTCATGTGTTTTTTTTAGAAGGATCGGCTCGTGCTCTGCTCGCTATTCTTTTATGGACAAAATCTATTTCGATTAGGACTTATTGGAGTGGAAGCCATACTTCCACATTATTTATTTGCACTGGATATAATCTTAATTGAGAGCGCCAAGTTAAGGTAGTCAAATCCAGTTTCAAATTCGTTTCCATGTTTCATGTCTTTACATTTTTTGTTTCCAGTCGGCTCAATAAGTGTATCATGTATCATAATGTGTATATCGTTATTTATTTATTTTCATTTATTTCTGATTTTTTAGATAGCGAAAATATTATGTTTGATATCACATGCAATCAAATCATGTATAGGTTGCATCCATCCATCCCTGAAGTGGAAATGCGACGAGCATGCCTTCGTGCGCTCTCATCTGTTGTATGCTGGCCGACGACATTTGGAATGAGTAAAATACCGCGTAAGTTTTTTGCAACATATCATATAAACTTCTTATTTATGTTGTTCTGTTCTTCTGTTTCTTTCTTCCCTTTTCCCCGATTTCCTTACTTCTGGAAAAAGTGTGCTAGACTTTTGCCAAATTTTCTAGAGATAGCCGAAAGCTCCAACTTAAAGTCGTCAGCCACCAGCTACTTGCAGTTACGATCAAGGATCTACAAAACCTTAGTTTTCAGTCTGCGAAACGAAACAGATCCTGTAAATCTGCATCTGACTTTAGGTAGGTGCCGACTACCCAGTTGTATCTCCATAGTGCCTGTCAATAGTGCCTCAGAACCGTTATTCAAAAAATGTTTTAGCGATGTGCACAGTCCTTATGGAAGAGAGTTGCGCGTTTGATCTTGGATTAACTGAGGAACAAACTGCCGAGATGATTAAAATGTCAACTCTACAACATGGAAATCAAACACCAGAGAAAGGTCTGCTTACTCAAGGATTCTGGGTTACCTCACGTCACTTTGAAGTGCTCTAGGGCTCTGTGTGTCTTTTGTACGAGGACTAGTATCAGCAATATGTGATCGAATATGTCGTCCGGAATGGGCTGGTGAGCACTCAGTCTCGTTAGCTGCAATAGATGTTCTGAATTGCTTATCACACTTGCATCCAACGGTTTTGTTCAATAACAGTGAGTTGCGCATTTTATATTTTTTCATTGTAATTATTTTGATACTTTTTTTTCAATTAAAGAGGACGTTTCCACCGGATCTCTTATCGTCGCGTCGCTATGTCGTTTCATAGAAACTCAACTAAGCAAACCACCTCCGCTGCACTCTAAGGATCTGCACTCGACTGTGAGTCTAGTTTTCTATCTAATTATGTGCTGGTATGCATTTAATTATAGTTCAAATTCTTAAAATTGTCAGTTTTAGTCGATCATCATTATTTTTCCATTATCAGTGTATTATCAACAGCTGAGGGTTTATTTTTAAAATAAAGGCTGAATATGTGATAGGTGGTTCAGATCGGCAGTGGGCCTCATTTTTTTTTGTAAAATGTGTATATGTGTGTATTACGTGAAAGCACTGAGAATTGCAATTTCGCCCGTTGTTACAAGTTCCATCACTCCTTTTCACGGCGAATGAGTGGTGAGATGTGAAGTTCTTTTAATAACTCGTACGATTTATCGCGTAGCTCTAAAAACTAAAAATTAATGAAAGATTTTTAATTCGTGTAGAACTGTGTTTAACTTGTTTTAGATATTTTTAAAACATCTTATAGAGCTCTTATTAAGTAAGAAGCATCCTTCTATATGTTCACAGTTCTATAGGTCGTTACGTGACTACCGTTTCTTTTTGGGGCATGGAGTGGATATCTTTTACTTTCGTTTGATAAATGATCTTGTATAATAAATTGAAAAGCTTGAAACAATCATTTTTGAGTATGGAAAAGCAAGCGACTGATGGTCATCTTTGTTTTATATTTCTGTTTGAGTTTTATCCACATCTCTTTTCCCTTTTTTTCCCTGAGCAATTCGAGTAGTCCGTATTCCTCTCCAACTTTCAATGATTTACAAACATTTTCATTCTGTTCTTATGCCTGCTGTTGCTTTAACGAAATTCTTTTGACATTTCTTTAAGGATTGCGCTCATTTTTATTGCCTTTGAAG